TAAAACTTATTCTGAAGGGAAAAAAAGGTACTGCATGATCACCCTGGAAATACTCAAAGGGGGTTTTAGGAGAAGAAAAGTTTTTCCTTCTCTTTTACACAGCAAGTAAATGTCAGAGAAATAGTCTGTCAGCACCAATATACTTAATGAAGATTGGTATAATGACTTGAATGCTCTTTCCCTGTTTATCACAGCTATGAGGATTAACATTCAACATACTGTTGTTCAGTACAGTATGTATTTCTCTTTGGTTGAAGTCATTATACACAGATGGTAAAAATAAATTTTTAAACCCTCAAAACACAAAAAAACCCCCCAAAATAAAAATCCACCCTGCCAAAACACAAGTAGCATGAAAGGAAACCAGTTCCCAGTACCGAAAGGGAGCTGATCTCTCCATCCTCAGGCTGTTATCCCAGGGTGGTTGACTTAAGGTGACCTCTGTCACCTACAACGAATTTTCCAAGCAAAGAGCTGAATCAGCTGATGAATTAGCACAAATGCTCAGATCGCTCTGGCTGGTGGGAGAGGGAGAAATGAGAGACGAAAAAAGAGAGAGATATCTTCAGATTTCAGCTTTACTCTGATATTCAAGTCTGTCTGCGTTGCCCTCAAAATTGCAGTTGCTAAAGCTGCTCCTGCCTTCAGTTTTGCTCACTGCCGGTTGAATGCTGCTCTTCCCTTCACAGACAGCCGTTGCTCTTGCCAAAAGCATGAGAAAGGAAAGCAACTTCCAGGTGGCAAACTGTCACGTCCAGTGGCAAAAGCCCTTTTTCCCAGGCTTCCATGGCAGAACTGCTGTTCTCCATCCATCTCTTTGCCATTCCACAGGATGCTACCTTTAGGTCTGGGGAAAAATACCTTGAAAATACCAGACACAACCCACTTCCACAAGCACAGATTCACAGGAATCTGTTCTTCTAAGTTCTTCTAAGCCTTCTGATGTTTACATTGTTGTAATGAACTTTCTCACACACTTTATGTAAATAATTAAATGTTTACATTCCTTTCTGGAGGAGGAGAAACTTGACGGACTGTTAGTTTGTCCAGTGTCGTTGGAGAGGCAACACTGTCATCCTCCAATCCACTATCACTTTTAAAGATCTATAAATATTAGAGTCAAAAAATAAACTGCCCTTCTTTTTACCTTAGAGATTCCTGTGTGCATGTCTTTTTATTTTGTGTCTTAAAGCGACAGAACTGCAGTCCCAGTACAGACCGTTGTGAGTGGGTAGCAAAAGTGAAGCTAAAATAAGCTATAGACAGGGAAACATTCAAGAGAGCTGTATCAACCATGGACATGGGTCTGAGCTGGTGGAAGGTGATGTGGTGTATGGGGCTGAGTGATTCTAGCTGCCAGGTGAAATAAGCATGCTACTGGTTCAGACACATGGGCTGAACAGAAAAAAACCCCAAAACAATACAAAACAACACAAAACAAAACCACCAGAAAAAGGGCTAAACTGAGGTAAATAGTAAGGGCAAAAGATTAATAGGATCCACCGGGATTCCTGGCCCTTCTTTCTCTGGTATGTGTGATGATTGTCTGGTAAGTTGCTGTGGCCTTGAACACAGAGTTTAAGAGCTTCTTATTTTACTTTCGGGAAAGCACAAGAGCAATTAGGGGTCAAGCTGGCTGTAATAATTTGCTGGATACTTTTAGCATGTTTACCCCAATTTCTATACTGGAGGGAGAAATAAGAAGAGTGTCTATTTAGTCACTATTAGAGAGAAATTATCTCTTGTCCAATTTTGAGATGTTTATTAAAATTTGAAGTTTGTTTACAGAAGAAAAAATCTGAAACAAGTAATTTTGCAGCATGACTGAAACAGTTCCTGCATGTAGGAACCCAGGACATCCGTCTGGGTGCCCTGGATGGCTCAAAATCCTGGCAGGGGCTCGGAGACCCTGGCAGGAAGCCAAAGACACTTAGGAATTCGATCTCAACTCATAGAGCAAATTACCAACTTCATATGAAGAATTACAAGTCACAAAAGTTTAAGTAGCATAACAGTAGTTGTCACAGCCTGAAAGATGGCCTTTTGATGAATTTTACCGTGGGGGTCTAGGGGACAAGATGGAGGAATTTGGGCGTTGTCCTGTCCTTCTCCCTTCTTCTTCCTAGCCTCCATCTTCTGGGTGATGTTAGCATATTTGGATTGATTTAGAGTAGAAGTACACAGTCTAACATAGATGAGAGGTATTGGAAAATAACTGTAAATAAAGTACATGTAGTTTTTAGTATAAAGAGATAGCACCACCTCAGGGCAGTGCAGTGTGCCATGGACTAACCTGCTGAACAGATCTGGGCAGGCCAGACAGAAAATATTTTAGATAAGAAATAATAAACAACCTTGAGAACACGAGCCAAAACTTCTGACTCCTTCTTCGACAGCTAGGTTGGAGAAAAGAGACTTTTAATACATCTCGGGGTCATCTTGACCAGAGGAGATCCCAAGACCTGCATCCTTTCCCAGTGACTCAGTTCTGGGATCATGATGCAGGCAGCTCATGTGAACAACAAGCATCAGCCCTGCAGCTCTTGGAGAGATTTCAAGAAGAAAAGAAATAACAGAATAGAGAAAGCAATAAAGAGATGGGTTATTAACCAAGGATGGATGAGTTTCCAAAGTTCAGGCCAGAATTTACTAAATTCAGATTATTTGTAGGAAACAAATGACAGAGAGATGCCTCTCTCTCCTTAGCTAAATATGTTTGCTCCAAACAGGAAGTACCTTAGAAAGAATAATTTAGGTTTTTCTGTTATAAATTGTGGATGCAAATACACTTTCCACTGTGCTGAACTGCTGTAGAAAGCAAGGAAGGGAAGGTGGTCAATCATTTTTGCAGAGCAGTAAGAAGGTAGGCATTGCTGAAGAATGTGATAGAGAAATTGCCTAAGACAGAAAAGTTTAACAAGCAGGTCTGGAGAAACTGGCATCAGGTGAAAAGGTTAACACCCTGCTGGCAGAGATGCACGTGGTGTCTCTTCCATATGGGGAGTAGTGGAGGGGTCACTGTGAAAAATGCCAATCACTTGTTTTTAAAATTTTAAAAGTTTAATAGTAATAAAATGGTTATAAAAATAGTAATATAATTAGAATAATAAAATTTGAACAATTGAGATTAGGACAATATGAGACAATAAAAACAAAGAGATACGGATGTCCAGGTACCTTTTTCTGGTCAACACAAGCCCGAAAAAGGACCCCTGTTAACAGAGGATTAACCCTTAAAAACAATCTCCTGTTGCATATTCATACATCTCATATATGATGCATAAATTCCATTCAAACAGGATTCTGTCTGGTCACTGTCAACTTCTTCCTCTTAATCCTCATGCCATCTTCCTGTCTGAGTGAGGTGGGAAGAAGTTAGTTTTCTGCTGGTAAGGGAGCAATAAATTCCCTTTCTCTGAAAGATTTAGGTGTCCTGTGGCTTCTATCTCGTGCGAGTCCTTTCTTAAACAAATATCTTACATAGCATAGTTTCTATTTTAACATTTTGTTATAACCTAAAGCTATATTTAATACACTACTTGAGAAAATTAATACCAGCATAACTTTCTAACATAACACATACAATATTCATTTTAATACTTGTGAAAAGCCAATCATAAAATACACATTTCTCACAATCAAATACATCCTTCCATGTGCTCTGAAAAACTATATCAGGTTATTTGACCAGAGCATGCAAAATGAGGGAGGATTAGCCCCTCTCCATTTGCTTTAGCTCCTTCTCTCTAAAATGGGGCTCCAAATATCCCATCCCTCCACAGGACTGAAAAAAAGTGCTGTGAAACCTGTGCTATGTGCCATAACCAGAGGGATTTGGTATTTTTAAAGTTTTCATAGATGCAGGAAGTAAGACTTGAGTTGTCCACTAGAGTGAAAAGAAGGTAATTTGTTAACCAATTTGTCATGAATGCTTTTTGCTGCTTGGTTTGGTTGAGCTGAAGGAAGTCCTGAAAAAAACATTAATTCCAGGAAAGGTTACCAAAGCTGACAGTCGTCGTCTGCATTGTAACTTCCACTGGGACATTGAGAGAGGGATCTGGAATGTATATGCAGTCCTGGGATCAGGAGGTTTTTAATGGCTAAAGCATTTTCTACAGATGTGCAAAGTGTCATCTGACATATGTATACTTCACATGGATCTTATTTCCCAGTAACTGGAGTGTAACTAATAGGCTGCTGTGCTTCTTAGAAAGTGTGTGCCTTGATTGGAAAGTCTTTAATGCCTTTAAGGGGGAATGGAAAACTTGTATCGATGGCAGAGATATCACCATTGTGGGGTTAATTAGGCATTAACAACTTAGGCGGGAAAGCATTTTCTGGAGATTAGTGAGCATCTGGGAGAAACCAATGGCCTAAGACATCTTGATTATTAGTGTATAGGCCTTATTCTTACTCAAGGTCATCAGCAGGGCTGCAGGGTATGGCTGGATCAGAGTTTAAATATCTGTTCAAAGGTGCTTTCTGACCCCTGAGAAGTTTGTCCCTGGTTTGCAGCCAGCTGTGAATAAACTGGTACTGGTGAGAAGGTTTTGAAGGCATTCAGAGACCATGTTTGAATGAGGGATAAAAGGTTCACAGATCAGGTAAACTTTAATCTCTTCAGTTTATAATGTCCATCAATTAATTTTACAGTAAAGGCTTTACCCTGGAGCTGATTAGAAGCAGTTTTGATGGTGTCAGTCCCCAAAGATGATAGTACCTTGGTGTCTCATATTTCTGCCTGGCATACCCACTAGCAAGAAATGTTTCTCAAAAGAAGTGGGAATTGCAGGAAACCCACACAAACAGGAAGACTTTATTCCTTTGGTGTGAAATTTGGAAGTTTAAATTTTCAGGAGTTTTATACACATGCTTTATATTCATACACATAGGTATGTGGAAAGAAAGAAAGAAAAGAAAAGAAAGAAAAGAAAGAAGAAAGAAAAGAAAGAAAGAAAGAAAGAAAGAAAAGAAAAGAAAGAAAGAAAGAAAGAAAGAAAGAAAGAAAGAAAGAAAGAAAGAAAGAAAGAAAGAAAGAAAGAAAGAAAGAAAGAAAGAAAGAAAGTCACGACAACGAGGCCCACAGTGCTCTAATAATTCTGGACCAAATAGTTGGATTATTTCACCATGTCATGTCTCTCTGGCTCCCCAGGACAGGTGATGGAGCATGGCTTTGGGTTTTTAAGCAGGCCTGACAACTGCAAACATCTTCCTGGCTTTTTGCCTTTATCTTGAAATCTGGCGCTGAGGCGAGAAACGCCTTGGGCTCGTCCCCGGCTCTGCAGTGCTGGGGGTGACTGAGGGCTGGGTCCGGGGACATGCGGAATCGGAGGGAAGCCACAGCGAGTGCTTGGAAGCGCAGGCCCGGGTTTGGACGGGGCCGAGGGCAGGGACGGGGAGTCCGGGTCTGCACCGCCGGCCGGTGACGTAGGAGGAGCACGCACGGCATTGGCGAACGGGCCGTGGCACAGCCAATGGCAGCGTGAGGCGGGCGGGGGGGGCGCCGGGGATCTACCGGGCACCAGGTGACGTCAGATGCAGTCCGAGTCACCATTGGCAGCTCGCTCGGGCGCGGCAGGGACCCGGCAGGGACCCTGGCAGAAATGGTGCCCAAGCAGCCTGTGGTGAAGACCTTGAGGAAGCAGCTGTCCTGCAGCAGCCCATTGTGAAATACAAAGCTGTGTTTCGTGTCAGGTACACACAGGCAACCTGTGTATCTGTGATTGTGATATGTGTGGAAACTGACCATGGGACAGTCATAAAGATAATTCTAATAAATAACTGAGGAAGTAAAGCATGGAAGAAGACCTTTGAACCTATCCTTTGTTTGCAATTAACCTTTATAAGTCTTAAGTTGCTTTAGGAGCATTTGAATTAAAGCTTTAAGGATGTTCCTGTTTGACAGGAACTTTCTGCTTCTAGCTAAAGAGTTTTGCAATAATAACCTTTTGAAGTATAGTTTTAAAATATTGCTTGTAGTAAAGATCTTTAAAACTATAGCTTTAGAATATATAAAAAGGAAACATGCTTATCTCAATGCCTTAACAAAATATGGAAAAGCAGCTTGAGAAAGGAAGATGAACATCAACTCCAGGATTGATAGTTTTGACCAAGGGAAGCTGGACGTCACTGGTATGAGATTTATAGTCCTTACAATTAAAAGGTGAACCCGCATCTGGACCCTGGACCTCACCAGCTGGGAGACTTCTTTCTTCTTTCGGAAGCTGGACCCCACCATCTGGGGATACTCCTTTCTGGGATACATCCTGAGAAAAACTAAATCACAACAGTGTATAGAATTGTTACGTAAAAATTTGGAATAGAAACTGCTGAAAAAGCTTATGAACACCCCTATAAATATCTGTAAGCCCCAACTATTGGTGTGCAGTTGGAGGGAAAATTTCCCCCACTGTACCCAGCACTGTATTGCTCATACTTTACCGTATTAATTAATAAATTGATTGCTGCTTGAGTATTGGCCTCGTCAAGCTTCTCATTTATAACACCATGAAGGTCCACAGCTGCAGAGATCCACCTGCAGCATTTGGAGGAGTCCAATGCTGTAGAAGGTAGGTGTGCCTGAGAGGGACTGTGACCCTATGGAGACACTATGGTGGAGCAGGGTCCTGGCAGAACTTGTGACCCTGAGGGGAATCCACACTGAAGCAGCCTGTTCCTGAAGGAGTGACCCCATAGAAAGGACCCATGATGGAGACATTTGTGAGAGTCGGTCTCCTGTGAGTGGGACTCCACACTGGAGCAGGATGAGGAGGAAGGAGCAATGGACAATACAAAATGAACTGATGACAATCCTTATTCCACATCCTGCTGTGGTGTGTGTTGCTCAGTCTCTCAGAGCCTCAGCATGGCTTTTTCATGGCAGGCATAGTGGAAGGGTGACAATCCCCCATCCTTCCAGCTTTTACAGAGAGAGGAGGCAAACATGGCGGCAGGAGTCAGAAGTGGAGGAGATCCTGATGTAAAACCATTCTGGACTGAGGGTGAGATCAGCCCTGGAGATGGAGCAGCTCAAAATGTGTCAGTGATGTCAGGGGTGTTACTTGATTCCTCCCTTCCCTTCTCTCCCCAGTGAAAGAACTTATATCTCTCCATCTCCCCCTGATTTGTGGTCTGCTCCATCCCACATCTCACTCAGCAGCCTCACAGTGGTTTGGCCTTGGGTTGTAACTGTCCTGTCAGGAACAGGCCATGGAGAGATGTGGGAGAGGCTGTCAGAGGACTGGCTTCTCCTGACATGCCAGGTGGAGACCAACCAGAATCCAGAAAAAGGAAGAGTCTTTGGCTGCAATATGGAGTATCTGTAGTGCACTGAGGGGTTTCCTGAGAAAAGCTACTGAGGAGGAAGAAGGGTGAGAGACACAGGAGCCATATGTATCAGAGGAATTTTGTAGCTGTTTAATGCAGTGGTTTTCCAGAACAAAACCATGTCGGTGCTGATGGGTCAGGGGTGGGACATGAACTAAGAATGGAGAGCAAGCAGCTGTTGCTGTGTGGGCAACCAGACCTCAAATGATGAATTCCTGGGTCTCCCATGTAGCCTCGTTACCTTTCCTGCAAAGGGTATGTGTGAGTTGAGTGAGTTCACTCCTACAGACCTGCTGCAACCCCTGGATTGACCTATATTCCCATAAATCTTACAGCAGGTTACAGAGGGAGGGCTCACCTGCGCTTCCACCACCAAAATCCCCCAGCAAAGGCTGTGGCCACAAGAAGCAGCACTGCAACAGTGATGCTGATGGTTGGAGCTGTGCTGCGGTTTTCTGGGAGAGGGAGCGAAGAGTGTGTGAGGGTTGCAGCACCAGTCAGGAGCTGCTCCTCACAGGGCCAATGGCTGGTATCTGCAGCCTGCACCCCATGCCCGATGGGTGGCACCTACCCCATGGGATGAGAAGGCTGCGGGTGCCCAGGCTGTGGTGGCGCACACGGCAGACATAGCTGTGCCCATCACGGGGAGCCACGGCCAGGATGCTGCGGAGCTGGTACGTAAGGTCAGCGTTGGGCAGGATGGTGCTGGTGTTGAGCGCTGGGCCTGGAGGCACCTCCTGGCCATCCCGCAGCCAGGCCACGCTGATGGGACGGGGATAGAAGCCAGTGACATGGCAAACAAGCAGCAGCTGGTCTAGGCTGGGGGTGCGGGCGAAGACCGTGGCCACAGGCAGCTCTGTGGAATGAGAGCAAAGGGGTGGGGCAAGCCTTGGTGGGTCACGTCTGGGGCCCAGTGTGGGGGCTTTTGGGTGGCTGTTGCAGGGTCAGGGTGGTCTCACCTTGTCTCTCTAGAATTTCCTTCCCATACCTCTTCAGGGTGAGGAAGTTGCTCTGGCATACCCAGATAGAGAGAAGGTACTCCAGGAGTATTCTGAGAGACTTCTGTCTGTTGAGGCTCTTGCTGACCAGCTCTGCCACCTGGAATGGCTGTCGGGCCTCCCAGCCCTGTTTATCTACCTCAAAAGCTACGAGGTCTCTGCCATCCCAGCCAATATTGAGGAAGCCCTGGCTTGTTGTATTGGGGTACAGCACACAGCCTGCACGGATCTGAACCACCAATGGGTCTGTCAACAGCAAAGCCAATGGAGAGGTCCCATGAGTGTGTGGAACGTGGGTGGCATGAGGTGGGATATGTCTGAAAGCACATACAGGGATGCAGTGGAAAGCAGGGTGCAATGGGCAGCAGGGGGTAAGGCCATGCTTCAGGAGACCCCAGACACCCAGCAAGCCCTCAGGCTTGGAAGAATGGAGTGGATACCAGTGTGGGGTGCTTGCTTAAAAAGAATTCTGTCCCCTAAAGTATTTGCCCCCAATTTTTTCTTTCATGATCTTTGCTGTGTCAATCCTTCAGCTCCTGTAAATTTGGTGGCAGCACCCTGATATAAAGAGGGGTTCCTTTTGCCAGATGGCAGAAGCTCCTAGGTGTATTTTTGGTCTGCTGCCCTACCCATTCCTGCTAATCATATTCCCCAGCAGCTGCAGTGTTTGAGGAGCTGTTGCACCTTGTGAGACCCACCCCCCGCCCCCGCAAATGCCATCCTGGTGGGGAGGAGGCAACAGCCAAAACCTGGGGAGAAGGACTAGGGCTCAGGCAGGGCTCGTTTCTGTACTCACAATGCTGTTTTGTCTGCTGAACTGTGTCGTGCACAAATCGGATCATATTGCGCAGAACAATTTTGTACTGGGACATTATCTTTTCCCCGTCGCCTTCAGCTGCAGCCTGGCTGACCCAGGGCCAGTAGAAGTGGATGCTCCAGTTGGCTGGATCCAGCGTTAAGATAGCTATGTCCCCTACTAGTGCCACACATGACACCTCAGCAGAGCTGATGTTGGCAAAGAGGCTAGTCAGGAGGTACTGGATAACCTGTGGCTCTGCTAGGAGAGAGAATGGAGACAGGAAAGGGTGCAGGAAGGAGATGAATGGAGGTGCTGAAGGGGAAACATGAAGCTGGAGGGGGAGGGGAACAGGGGATTCAGACTAGATAATAAGAAAGGATTTTTTAAGTGAGGGGTAGTGAGACACTTGTACATGTTACTCAGACATATTGTGGATGTCCCATCCCTGGCAACATTCAAGGCCAGGTTGTTTGGGACTCTGAGCAGGGAAGGTGTCCCTGTCGATGGCAGAGGGGTTGGACTAAATGGCCTTTAAAGGTCCTTTTCAAACTGCAAATCATTCTGCGCTTGTATGATTCTGTGCTCTTCATCCCGCTCAGGGTTGTTTTCCTGTCCAAACTTCCCCTGACTTCACTGCTCTTTTTCTTTCTCTATCTTACTTTCAGCAAAGTGGTTATCTCCTGCAGAGGATTTTAGGCATTTTGTTCCCTCCCTTCCATGCCTTCCTCCTGGCCACAGCTGCTGTCTGACTGTGCAGAGCAGATAAAGGGGCACCTTGCTGCTCGTTTGAGGTGATGTTTCCCCCCAGGAGAAACACCTGTGCCAGGACTTTGCCAAAGATCTGGACACAGTACAGAGGATATGGAGGATGCTTGATAGAAAAGGGCATTTTGTCCAAGTTTGGGGCTCCCTGATAGGGCCAGGTCACCAGCCCAGCCCAGAGATCAGTCCTGACTTTCTGTGTCTGACGCTCCCTGCCCGGAAGCATAAGGTCTTATGGGGTTGTGGTAAAACTCTCTGTGTGACAGCAGTGCCCAAAAAACCGTCTGGCAGGTGCAGCTCCCTAATGAACGAGAGGCTGCTGGAAGAGGCCCTCAGCACCATGTGGAGCTGAGATCTGCCTGGCATCCATGGGCTCCCTGCAGGGGGAGGACATCTTGCAGGGTAACTCAACACCCAAGGCCTGGCTGAGGACCACTGTTGTCTCTTCTCTTTGTGTGCCCAAGGCCCTGTGTTGGAGCTGGTGAGGCAGAAGTCCTGAGCTGGAGGCAGGAACAGAGAGGGTGGGCAGGGACAAAGCATGTTTGGGTGATGCACGATGGGAGGTGGCCCTCTGATGCTGGGAATCATCCACCCCCCTCTATGGCACAGTGGCCTGGCCATGCCTCCCCTGAGCAGAATTTGTGGGGTCCTCTGACAGGCGGGAGCGGTAAGAGCAGTTGAGGTGAGCCAGGACTCCCACTTACCCTCTGGATCTGCCCACATCCCAGGGAGGAGGATTACAAGGAAGAGGAAGAGGAGGAGGCGAGGAGGCTGCATGGTGCACGCGGCAAGGCTGAAGAAGCAGCAGCAGTGACTGTGGGAGCAGGAAGAACCTGTGAGAACCTAAGCTTCAACCCAGCCCAGCAGTCACTGCGGTGCCTCTCCACCAATTGGAGAATCAGTGTGTCAAGGGAGGGGCCCAGAAGTCCCAAGCTGAAAGCTGGGGATGTGTGGGAGGGACAAAAGCTGAAATAAGGTCTTGAGCACAAAGTGTCCTGACAGGCTGGGGTTGGAAAAAGCCCAGCCAGAAGGAGAAGGCAGGGAAAGAGACCCAGGAAACACAACTAGGAAAATAGATATTCCAGCATCTAAGCTGGGTTTTCCTGACTCCCCCTCCCCACCTATTGTACTATCCCTGTTCTTGTGGGATGCCTCAGCACCAATGCAGGTGACAATGGCATTTGGATTTCAGACCTGACTGGAGAAAAACAGTTGCTGTCTTCTCAACCCCTACATAGGAAGAAGGGATAGCCCCTCCTGCTCCTGTCACCTCCAGTTCAAGCTGCTCCTGCATCACTTGCCTAATTCTGAAGATGGGGCTCCCAGGGAGGAGGCAACAAGTGTTCCAACTAGATGAAATCTGTAGGACATAGCTGGGGAGCCCTAACTCTGCTCTAAACACCTGGGGATGGGCCTAGCAACTCCCCTTTCCTTCCCACCAGCTTTGATGAGGAATCCGGTCCCCCTCCCCAAGAGCCCCCTGTGCAAGGGAACAGAAATGGTGGGAGCCATCCCTGTGCTCTGTCCCACTGGCACCAGTGTCCAATGCTGGAGGGATCATGGGGTGCCCAGAGTAAACCTCTCCCCACAATGTTCCCAGCTGACTGCTCCTCGCCAGCTCCTCCCCTCAACATGTAGTTTCTCTTCCCCTTTTTTGGGTAGTGCCTGCACTGGGGGCAAAGGCAGAACCAAAACCACAAGCAAGGGCAAGTTTGAGGGTTGCACCTCTGTAGTGTCCAAACACTGAATACTTTTGTTCCCATGGAGCTGTCCCAGAGAGAAGTAGGGATGCTGTGGTGGCCTGGTAGGTCCAGAAATTACACCAATTTCCCCAGCAGCATGATGCAGCGGATGTCCAGCTATGCCACCACAAGATCCACATCCCTCCCACTAGTCCTACACCCAGAGGAGACTGTTTGGCTGTCAGGATGGCAAAGCGCAGCCATGGGGCAGTCAGGGAGGGAAGCGACAAGGGGGCTTTTGTCTCTGCAGTCCTGTGAGGCCCCTGGCTTATGTGGGTGGTCACAATGTGTTCAGCCCCCTCGGAAATTCCTCCAGATGTCTGTCTTGGTGGATCTGCTTTAAAGTTCTGCTTTAGCTCTTCCACTTCTCTATTGAATGTACTTCTCATGTTTGGAGTTTTTTTCACTTCCTTTTTTGCTCACAGCTTCTTCCTCCTTCAAATTGTCACTTCTCTGGTCTGAAAATGACTCAAGGAGACAGGGGGCTGTTGGTCCACACAGACCATTGGTCCTCAGAGTCCTCTCAAGTGACTGTGGTCCTCAGAGTCACCCCCAGGTTACTACTGGTCTCCACAGTTTCTTCAGGTGACATTGGTCCTTACAGTCTTGTGAAGTGATTACTGGTCCTCACTTATCCCATGCCCTAGAGCACTATTGGACTTTGAAGTTCTCATGTGGCCACTGGTCCTCAAAGACCCCACAGGTGACATTGGTCCTTGCAATCTCCCCCTGAGGTGAAGTCTGTAACCCCCCAAGCTGCGCCTGGGGGAGTTGGAGCGGAGAGTGCCTCTGGGTGCCATACTGGATGGGTGGGTGAGCAGCAGCAACTGCTGCACTGAGCTGTGATAAGATGCCTTAAGAACCTTCTAAAAATGCCTGGGTGGGCTGAGTTATTGTAAGGTCTCTTAGGAGATGTAAGCAAACACTTGCAGACACCCCCCTGGTACCAGGTGCTTATTGGTGTGGTGCTGTAGGGTCTCTTGGGAGGTCATTCACATGAACAGCTTTCCTCAACAGGTTTCCTCACTGGCTGCACCTGATCTCCAGGTCTGCCTGGTACCATGAGTGCTCCAGGATGTTCCACTCTGCTTGGGAGAGGAATTGCCCTGTGGGTGCCAAGGCCACAGGAAGGCATGCCCACCTCAGCGTTTCATCTGCCTGTCCCAAGTCAGCAGGGGCTGGGAGAGGCTTGGTGTCACTCCTCTTGCAGTGAGGTCCTTGAGCCCTGTGATGGCAGCAGGAGATGCTGGCTGCTAGGGAAGCGCAGTCCTTACCACAGCTTTGAGGTTTCCAGGTTCTGGCCAGGGGAGAACAAACACCATTGGATTTGTGGAGGATATGGCCATAAGGCAGCCAGGTTTTCTGGCTTGCCATGGCTGCCAGACTTATCCTGGGAAATTGCAGGAAGTTGTCCAGTGAAACCAAACCTTTTGAAGCTACATGTTCAAGTTGATTGGGAGCATGAACTACATGCCTTCCTTTGTGTCTTCCTCTGCTATCTTTCATGGGACATGGACTTCTTTTTTCTCCTTTACTGGGAACCTTGGGGTCACTTTACCCCCATATGCACAGTTGCTTATTTCCATGCAATATGTGAGAACACGTTCATATATTCACAGGCACACATGTACTGTTTTTCCCTCATGCCTTGGTGCTTCCTGCAATTAGTGCCAATAATTCAGTGGTGTTTTAACTTGCATACATGGCTGATCAAAACCTCTCCAAGCCCATTCAACTGCTAAAGAAAGGCACATTATCTTAGTGAAAATATGAATGGTTTATTTTCATTTCATACACATATGCAGCTCCCACACATTACACCAGTTTCAGTGTTACTCAGCACTTTGTAAGGCCATTTCTGGCCAGGTTCTGTTAGTTTGTGTGGAACCACCACAGTTCAGTCTCAGCACAAATATTTCTGGAATATGGTTAATAAAGGTAATTTTTAGGAAAAAAAAAAAAAACAAAACCAAAAACACAACAAAACAAAACAAAAGAACCCAGAAAGTGACAGTAGAAGGGGACAGCTTTCCACCTTCTGACAAAAGTGTTACTGAAGCAGAACCAGGAGAATTTGCCACTGGTATTGAGGTGCCCTACAGCATTAGTGGGTGGACTGGCCAGTGCCATAAGCTAAGACATGATCATGTGTAACAAGTGAGAAAATCGTAGATGTGCACTTGTGTTTGTTTAGAAAATTCAGGTTAGTCAAAAGTTCAGATTTCTCTCACTGGGTTTCTCTTGTGTATCTCTGAAGCGAGCTAGTCTTGCAATTGGCAATGCCCAGAACTTAGGTGAAGCAGAAAAAGGTAGTTCTTTTTACTGTGTCGGCAGTGGGAGGGAATGGGGACTGTTTGCTCTCTTCTGAGCTAAGCGTCTTTGCTCAGGATGGAGTTCCTGGACTCTGATTCCTCCATCTCCTGGTGCTTTCTGAAATGAGAGGGGGATAGCTGGATGCTCCATGGCAGAGACCTTCTAGGAGTGCAGACAGCATCTGCCAGGGCCCAAGCAAGAGCTTTGCTACTCAGTGCAGAAATCCCCATGGCATTTCTTTCCCTCCTCTCTCACTGCCACTCCCTGTGGCAGAGAGGGACTGACCTTTGTCTCCACACCCAAAGCACCGCCATGGCAGCTACGGCCATGGCTGCAAGCAGCCCGGCCACGAGCCCTGTGATCAGCACCACTTCTGATCTCCCTGGGAAACATAAGGAGAAGCTGCCATGAACTTTCTGCGGTTTGCTCCATCTGGTGGGGCAGGGTGGTTCAGGACCCCCATCTCAGCCCCTGTGGGTGGCACCTACCCCATGGGATGAGAAGGCTGCGGGTGCCCAGGCTGTGGTGGCGCACACGGCAGACATAGCTGTGCCCATCACGGGGAGCCACGGCCAGGATGCTGCGGAGCTGGTACGTAAGGTCAGCGTTGGGCAGGATGGTGCTGGTGTTGAGCGCTGGGCCTGGAGGCACCTCCTGGCCATCCCGCAGCCAGGCCACGCTGATGGGACGGGGATAGAAGCCAGTGACATGGCAAACAAGCAGCAGCTGGTCTAGGCTGGGGGTGCGGGCGAAGACCGTGGCCACAGGCAGCTCTGTGGAATGAGAGCAAAGGGGTGGGGCAAGCCTTGGTGGGTCACGTCTGGGGCCCAGTGTGGGGGCTTTTGGGTGGCTGTTGCAGGGTCAGGGTGGTCTCACCTTGTCTCTCCAGAGCTGTCTTCCCATAGTGCAGGAGCACCTTCATGTCATCGACACAAGTATCATTGAAGAGAGTTTCCACCAGCTCACTCAGGGCAGTGTAGTTCTGGAGAAATGACTGGACATACCGTGACAACTTGGTGTCCTGGGAGAGGGTCCAGGTTAAATTCTTTGTGTCGAAACTGAGGAAATCCTGACCATTGTAACCCAGATAGCCAAAGGCCTGGGAGGTTCTGTTGGGGTACAGAATGCAGCCTGCTGTGCACTGAACAACAAAGGGGTCTGGCGAGGCAAAGAGGAGAGAAAGGTTGCGTGAGGGGCTGGGATTGCCTTCCTGCAGACATAGTCAGTGCCTCCTATACAGCACCAGCACTATCAGATCCTTCCCCACTTCCCAGCTGCTTTTCAAGAAAGGGGATGCAGTGAAGACTGAGTACTCACATGGGATGTCCCTTTGCATGGCCCCTTCATTGATTAGATGGTTGAACTTTTCAAAATAGATCTTAAGCAGGTTTTCAATGGTGTCCCAGTCAGCATGGGGCAGGGCTGGGCGCACCCAGGGCTGGCAGAAGCGGATGGACCATGTGTGTTTATCAAGAGAACCAAGTTCGATGTCTTCCAGCAGGCCCAGCCCCTCCATGTCCACAAACGAGGTGTTTTGGAAGGTGGTGGTCTGGAGCAGCCGGATAGTGAAAGTCCCTATATGAGAGAAGGGTTGACAGGGAGGAGATGGCACTGGGAGAAGAGGGCTGAGGAAAGGGTCCTTGAGGTTGCAGGGATCCGTGGGTTCCCCATAAGCCCCTTATAGCGTTTGCAGCCCCAGTTCCCATTTCCTGCACCCACCTGGGGTGGCTGCATCCCGGCTGGGGAGGAGGTGTGGAGCCAGGGGACAAGGAGGAGTAAGGAAGCA